ATGCTCCCCTACTGAGTAGCTGGGGTGTGGGACTCCCCGCCTGGACCCCGGTTTCTCTATCTCTGACCCTCAGTGGCTGGATGAGATGGTCCCTCCCCAGCCCCAGCTGCCAGGCCAGCCTGACCTTCAATGCCCGGCTGTCATGACCCTCATCAGTTGCCCCTCATTCCACTCACTGCTGTGGCCACTACCTGACCATCAAAGCCGCCTCCAGCCAGAGCCCCAGAGCAGCTGGCGGCGCCCCCCCCCCGCCCCCTCCACCTCAGCTATTTTCGAGCTCAGTGTGGCTGTGGGGTTGTGTTTTGGAAGAAAATTATCTGCTTGGCTGAATCAGCCAAATGGCAGGGCCGGGGATGCGAGTTCATGGAGATACAGTGAAAAGACTGTGTGGTCCCACACGGGTCTGCTGCCCACCTGCACACCCGGGGATGCACGTGGGATCCGGTCCGTGTGGAACCTGAGGCCACACTGTCCCACGGTCTTCCTACCCATAGCCTGCCTGCCAGATCATCAGGCAGTTCCCATCTGTGGTCTGGCAAGGACCTGGAAGGACAGGGGCCACCACTCTGGGAGCCCTGCCCAGAAAGTGACTGAGTGCTCAGAGCAGGTGGATGGAGAAGCTCAGAAAGGCCCTGGGCTCTCCCATCTCCCACCTGGCTTATACCCCCGACACCCCTGCCAAGCAGCCCAAGCCCTGCTCACATACCGGGGAGGTTGAGCCCCAGGCCAGGTGCTCGCTCAGACCCTGGGACAGGAACCCTGCGTCCTTGTACCCCTCCACCCCACCCCCCGCCCCAGATACCACCACAAGCCCCGCCTCCACATTTCACTCAAGATGTTCTCCCAGCCTCGCATGCCCTTCACCTGTGTGAGGTATTAGGGCCTCTTTAAGAAAACAAATGCAAAATTACAAGTCCAAGATTAGGTACAAAAGTACCTCATTTGTTTAGAATGAGGACACGAACAAAACAAGCAACAAGTTCACAAAAGGTAACAAGTAGCACTCAATATCAAACCCAGGAAAAATCCCCTCCCCGGTCAGAAGCTGTGCCTGTGTCAGGCGGGGGCTGGTGAAAGAAGCAGCGGGCGTTAACCAGGCCCCTGGGGAAACTGAGGCTGGGATGTGGGGAGGGCATGGGGAAGGGGTGAGGGTGGGCCCAGGAAGGGGTGGGCTGCCTGTTCAGCTCCATCCCAAACCTGCACCAGGTGGCCCAGCCACAGGGGACTGGCCACCACTTTGGTGTCCTCCCCTCTTCCCCCACCATGGGCCCTGCTGGGAGGGGGCCTCCCCCACCAGGGAATGCAGGCGTCAGCACTTCAGACTCTGTCTAACCGCCATCCCCACCCCCGCCTCCCACCCTTCCCCTCCAGATGTGGGCACAGCTGTATTTTTAGAACAGCTAACCCCGAGGACATTCTTTGCTTCTAATTAAGATGGCTTTAAACCTCCTATCCGCAATCAGCTCTACTGTTCAGTCCTCAGATATCAAAGGGTGGCCAGGAGGGGCTTCTCGGCTGGTTGTTGCTTGGGGTTTCTTCTTTCTTTCTTAGTTTTGAATCGTTAAGTTGGAAATGTGACCCAGAACTGGAGTGGATGCCAGCTCTGAGGAGGAGGGAGAAGCTGGATTTGGGGTAGAGCCTGCAGGGGCTGCCCCTAGGCCTTGCCCTCCACACTCAGTCAGGCTGCAGCCCCTCATGTTCACCTACCCACAGGCAGGGTCTGTCTGGAGATCAAGAGAGGGCACAGTACCTGCCCTTAGGATGCTCAGTGCGGGCAGTCAACAGACACACCTGGGGCCTGAGGGTGCAGTGCCTGTGCAGGGGGCAGGTCAGTTGTCATGATGTCCCCATTTTACAGGTGAGCAAATGGAGCCTGGAGAGAGGAAGTACATGTTGGGACTGCAGGTACCCCATTGGTATCAGCTGCAGCCAGGCCTGTGGCCGGCCTGCTGTGCTTGGTGATGGCTCACTGCCCACCCTGACAGCCTGGTGCCCAAGGTCAGCTGGCCTCTGAACTCCAGCCAGTGCCTCCTTGGGAGGCTCCTGGTGTAGAGTAGAGTTGCCAGTCCAAGTGGGAGGAACAGGGAAGGCCTTGAACCACTCCCCAGCCCTTCCTGGAAAGCACAGCTGACAGATGAGGACGCTGAGGTCAGAGGGGAGGCAGTCGGGTCAAAGCAGGTCAGTCCACCCACCACCCACCCGGTGATGGATGCCCAGCTGATGGGCTGAAGGAGAGACCAGGGACCATCGGGGCCAGCCTGAGCCCAGGCTCCAGGGGTTAGGCCACCATCCAGACTCCTGTCCCACCCTTCATGGAGCAGAGAGGGGAGGCACACAGCGAGGCAGAGGCAGCGTGGGCTGGGTGTCAGACCGCCGAACTCCCGACCAAGACCCTACCCCCCCCACCCAGCCCCCGGCGGGGCGCGGTCTGGGTGCGCAGGACTAAGGAAACGAAATCACCTGGGGCTCGTGGAACAGGGGACGCCCGGGATCGGCCAGGACTCGGCGCCCAGGGACCGTGGGGGCAGCTCCCCCCGGAGTTCCCCGCACCTGGCGGGGCCCTGGCTCAGGCCTCTTGGTTTCCCTGCCACCGCGGAGCCCCGAGAGGTCTGACGACCCGCCGCGCCAACTCCCGAAGCGCGGGCTTTGTCGCCCCCTCGCGGCCGGAGCCGGTCTCGGCAGCGGGGACGGATCCCGGCAACTGGCGGGGGCGGCCTGGGAGGGCTAAATGGGGTCTGGAGGCCTAATCCGGGAGGCCTAATCCGGGGGTCAGCGGAGTCCCCGGGCCCGGGTAACAGTGGAGGCACCTTCTGGAGCGGGCTCGGGTCGACGAGGCGGCCTCGCCGCTTCTGCGGGGGTAGGAGCAGCCGGGGGCTCGGTGGAGCGCAGACCCGGTGGAGCCCTCCAGCCAGCTTTGCGGTATCGATTACCTTCGGTGCGAGCCGCTGTGTTCCCTGCCTCCCGCGGAGTGCCGGGGTGGATCCCCCTACTCCCCCCTCGCCGCCAGCTCTGGGCCTCAGTTTCCCCATCTGCAGAGTGACAGGCTCCGGAGTGTAGGAGGGAGCGTGGGTCGTGGCTCCCATGGCGGGGGAGGGGCGTCACCACCCACGTTGGCCTCCCTCCCGGAGCTCCTGAGCACTGGTGACTGAAAGCAGGCCACCCCTCCTCCCTTGACCCTGTTGCAGGAAAAATAGACATGAGAATTTTCTGATAAACAAGGAAAATAAGGAAACAATGAACAGACTGGGGAAACAATATAAACAGGCCTGAAAGAGTTAAGTAATCTTGGTTATTCTTTAGCTATTACTACTAACAAACACTTGTAGCTGGACTTGTCCTTCACAAAGCTGATTACTCTCTGACTCCGTACAAATTACCCTTTGCACCTGGCCTTTCTTCTCCCCCTACACTCCCTTGTAGCACTCTTCATTTCAGAAAGAAGGTCACCAGCCGATAACTTCAGGGACGCCAGACCTGGTTGCTGAGCCGCCTGATGCCAGCTTTGGCCATGAATTTGCAGAAGAAAAGAAATGCAAGACCTTCACTACTTTTGATCCTTATCATATACCCGGGACTGCGAGCCCCACATATAAAATCTTCTCCGATTCCCCGAGGAGGGGGACACAGTTCTTGAGGCACTAGCCTACTGTCTTCCCCTCTTGCCTGGCAAAAGGAATAAAGCTACTCTGTTCTATTTCCTCCAAACTCTGTCTCCTTATTTCTATTCGGCATCAGTGGACAGGGAGCCAAGATTTGGTAACACCCCCACCTCTGCCTTCTCACCGGGGAAACCAAGACTGGGTGGGAATCCGAGACTGGGTGGGAATCCACGCGGGAAGCTCCCCGGAGGAGGAGTCGGCACGCGTGGGGGTTGTCTTTCCATGCTCCCCTGACTCAGGCGTGGTTTGACAGCCCCATCCCGTAGGGTCTGCGCTGGACTTGGAGATCTGAAAGCCCAGCCCCGACTTCCAGCAGGGCTGCAGGGGTGCTGCGGACACAGACTCCACCTTGTGGAGTCTCAGGGACGTTGAGAGGATTAGCCATCAGCACTGGGCAGCCACAAACACTCACAACCTTGACTGTCACACACTCAAGGTTAAACTCCTGATTAATGTTTGCCAAAGAGAAACCTCAAGCTCCCTTGCCTAAGGATAATAATTAGTGGCTGGGGAGCCCACGCATTGGGGGGCTGACTCCAGCGAGGTGTCCATGGAGGGGGGGGCGGCGGGGAGGGAGCGAAGAGGGTATTATCACAGCAGTGGATCATCTCAGTTGATGCAGAGATGCAGAAAGGCATGCACTTAGCAACTGCTAATATTTTATTTATTGTATTGATATTTTTCCTTAAAAAATGCATGATGTTTTTTAGAAACTTTTACAAGTTCAGGGCAGCAAAAATAAAACAGTATCCCTTCTGGTGTATGTCCTATCACAGTCTTTGCTCAGATGACTTCCTAGGGTCACTTTCAGGTCTATGTTTCTATGACCAAAAATAGCATCTTTGGCAACTGGTTTCGATTTGGCCTTAATCCAACTCCTGGATTCATGAAGGACCTGAGAAGCCCTGAGAAATAAAAGATTAATCCTGCCCAGTGGACCCGGTGGTTCCTCATCTCACAAGGTCCACTGGGCCGGACTAATCTTGTCGCATAGGCCGGGCTGGCCTCTCACGGAATGGATCCCCGGGCTGCAACCCGAGACTGGGTCTCCCACCCGCCTTCCAAGTCACTGGCTCTGCCAGGACGGACGGATGAGAGCTCTCCAGACTTGTGGGTCTGCCTTTTGGCCCTCCTAATCCTGTCCCTCCCCTGGGAGGAAAGGGCGGGGACACCTGTACTGGAGGAGAGTGGGGATGCCTGTGCGGAATCAAGGGCTCGGCCCTTATAGTGCCTGGGGACAGGGGCCTCCCGCAGGCGGACAGGGGCGCCTGATTGGGGTGAGAGGAGGCCGGGCAGAGGGGCCGGAAGGGGCGGCGGCGGAGGTCCAAAGGGGAGCGCAGCAGTGACGGGCTGAGAGTCACGCCGGAGGCGGCAGCGGGGGAGGAGACGAGGGGACTAGGGGCCAGGGCCGGGATTTCGTGCGAGTCTGGAGCGCGCTGATCAGAGCCGCCGGCCACGACAGGCGAAGGCGGATGCAGGGGCTGGCCGTGGTGACTTCGGACCTGAGCCCCCTTCCGGTCTGCGGAGATGGGCCACAGGCTCGGCCGAGTAAGGAGTCAGTGGCTTTTCACCTTCAGAGCTGCAGAAAGGGAGGGATGGAGGATGAACACGAGCCGCCGTTACAGCCTCGGACTCAGGTGACCCGCTCGCGGGACCCCAGCCCCCCACGCCCTTTACGCCCTGTGCGCCTGCGCACATGTCTTGGCCGCGCGCTCTGGCTAAGGTAAGCTTTGAGCGAGTCTTCGCAAATGCCCACTACGCATGCGCCTCCCTCTTCCACGCCGATCCGCTTTTCGCAAACGTCTGAATTCCGAGACCTGCCGGCCCAGGCTTATCGGATGAGGGATTGCGGACTGGCGTGCACTTGGGAAGGCTCAACGAACGCGTCCAGTGTACAGAAGTATCTGAGTGTGCACAGTGGAGCTAGGTGCTCGGCCCAGACGAACAAGAGCAGGTGTTCACGCGCAGTGTTGGGCTGGGGCGCAGTGTGCGCACTGCGCACGGGACCTGCGCACCGGCCGCGTCCCAGGCTAGCATCCCTCTGGTCCTCGTATGGGCCGGACACGCCCCCAGCAGCAGCAGCCCCTGGGCACTGCAGTCCTGGCCGCCTCATCCCGTCCTGGGCCTGTTTCCCACCTTCACTTCTCTCCCCAACCTTCATCTCCTCCACGCTGGTTCTAAACTCCGTCCTCCCGTCCTGCTGCACCGAGGGGGCGGGGCAGCGGGAAGAGCAAGCCTATAACGCTCACCACCCCGCCTCAGGGTTTACCCCGCCAACCGGCGCTGATCTGCATGGCGCTTCCCCTCACCTGCTTCAAGTCTTTGTGCGGAGGCCCCCTTCTCATGGCGTATTCCCTGACCACCTTTCCCAGACACGCCCCTCTCCCCTTCGCCTGCTTTCTGTCTACGTCGCACAGCTGACTTACTATGTATTTTCCTTGTTTATTTGTTACTGCCTGTCTTCCCCCGCTGGAATAGTCACGGATTTCGTCTCTTTTGTTCGCTACTATATCCCCAGCACCTAGAACAGTAGATTTATTGCCCACAGTAGGGAGGCAAGAAATCTTTATTCACTGACTTAATAATCACCACCATAGCTAATGTCTGAATGCTTTCCATGACCAGTCAGAGGACTAGGCAATCTCCATGCACGATCTCATGGAATGAAGTCTTGGAGACCTGCCGGCACCCCTGTCACATGGGCTCAGTTCTCATCAGGCGGTGCGTGACTTGCTGCTTCCTGCAGATCTGCTCTCTTAGTGGAACTCTCACCTCCGGGCAGCCCAGAAGGGTGCTTCCAGTGACTCCAGTGAGACTGAGACGGGACTCCTGGGTTCTCACCTGGCTTCCCCCTATGGCTTCAGGCTTGGGAGGAAGTTACTTAGACCTTGTAGGAACTTGCGGGCAGCCAGGGTGCCTGTCATAGACCTGCCTGCAGACCTGTGGCAAGATCTCTGGCAGGAACCTGCCCTCAGAGCCTCTACCTCCCCACCCCCAGGCCATGTTCTCACAATACGGTGAAAGCAGGTCTGTCGTTCCCCACCCCACACCCCGCCGCACTGTGTGTGCCTCCCAGCTCAGTTCCTGGCTGGGACAGGCACTTGGTATTTGACGGATGAATGAGTAAGTAGTCTTCAGGTTCTGGAGATTCTTCAGGAAGCCCTTAGCCAAGCATCCTTCTGACTTGAAACTTGTATTTAAGAATTAAAAAAGTAATAAATATGACAGTGCTTTATATTTGAGGGACAATTTGCCCGAGCAAGAAAGGTAGTATAGAGTTACTAGGAAAAGATCAACAATTTGATTTTTGTATAGTTAACCACTTTGTGAATGTCTCAGAAAATATCTGAGGGAAGCAGTTCACTGCTCTTTGGGAGAGTGGAGAACTGTTAGCGTACACTGGATTTTCAAAAAATTTAACGAGCAGGTTATTTTGTAATTAAAAATTGTAAGAGAAAAATTATAAACAAGACTGAATCCCCCGAAGAAGATACCAATCTAATGATGGGGCATCAGGGCGCTGAGCTGGGTGCCTTGGGGAGTTCTCCCTCCATCTCTAAGGGTGCTGCATGAGGATGAAAAGCTGCCCTTTGTTGTACCAGGTGTGTGTAGTGCACATGCGCATTGGCTGTCCCCCAGCCTGAAGGTAGCCATTATCGTCACCAGGGCCAGCGAGGAAGCCCCTTAGGGAAGATGAGGGAGGAAGGGCAGAGCTGGCACTGCGACCCAGGCTGCTCTCTGCTGCTCCATGTGCCCCCCCCCAGGCCCCCACACATGTAGGTCCGTGTGGCCCCTCCTCTTAGCCTCCTGGCAGAACAGGCTGGGAGGGAAGAGAGGGAGGCCCAGCCACTCTATTGAGAGAGTTTCACTGGGGCGCGTCAATGTAGCTCGGGGACTCCTGTCCTGCCAGAGGCAGAGCTTCACGCCTGTGGGGCCCCAGCTCAAGGCATTGTCCCCTGAGCCACAGCAGGCATGCCCAGGGGCAGCCCGGCAAGGAGGGCCGGGAATGGCTGTCCATCTCAGGAAAATGCTGTCAGGGGTGAAGGGGCAGTGAGATCCTGGACTCAGAGCAGAAGGCTAGGGGTGCCTCTGCTACCTGCCAGCCATATTAACTAGGCAACTCGTCTCTGCCTCAGCGTCTTCATCTGCAAAGTGGAGCCATCATTGCCTGGTTCAGATAGATTGCAGTGCTGGGATTGGTGGAGGCTGTAGTCAGGCACTCTGTGTCCTCTCCTCTCTCCTCAGTTCCAGGGCAGGGTCCTGCTGCTGACCATCTGTGCGGCTGGCATTGGTGGGACTTTTCAATTTGGCTACAACCTCTCCATCATCAATGCCCCGACTTCGTTATGTACCCTCCATGCGCACCATCACCATCCCAGTGGGTGCTGGGCCAGGGCCAGCCGCTGCCTGCAGCGGATCTTCAGGCCAGCAGCCACTTGGTGGCGCTTTCTCCCACACGTCCACCTCCACTGCGATGCTCCACAGGCCCTGCGATTTCAAACCCAGCTCTGCATCCTCCCCTGAAACTGGCAAGTTCTCCTGAGTCCCTGATATCAGTAGATGACTCCACCATCCACCCAGTGACTGGGGTCCGCCCTGACTCTTCCCTCCCTCTTGGACACCAAGTCCTTCCTAACTGCCTCTGGCTTCCAGCCATTTCTCCTCGGGTCTCTTCCACAATCCCAGTTCAGACCCCGTCTCTCCTGCCTGTATCACTGGCCTCCCTGCCTTTGACCTCCCCCTTCTAGATCCTCGCAAATTTGATCAAACCACTCCCCTGCCCAGAAACATTCTGTGGCTCCCCAGTGCCTACAGGAATAAGGACAGACTCATCCATCTGAAGTCCAAGGCCTCCTGGGATTAGAACCTGTCCACCTGTCTTCCACCTTCGTTCCCCCAACTCCGCTATCAAAGCAGGTTAAACGCAGTTCCCCAAATGCACCCAGCCCTTCCTTGAAGACTCCTTCTGATGGGAAGCCCTCTCTGCCCCACCTGCAAGAAGCCCTTCAAGAGCCACCCAAATGCCATCACCTCCCTGAAGCCGTCCTTTAGCAGCCCCCACAGCTGGAGTCACCCTCCCTCCCCAGCCCTTGGTCTCAGCCTCCTGCTGGTCTCCTCTCAGTGTCCAAGTCATCTTTGAGTCCCCAGCACCTGACTCTGTCCTGGTCTGTGCCGACGTTCAGTAAATGCCTGTGGAAAGGATGAATCTCTCGGCCCCATTGATAGAAGCCACCTCTATCCCACCTAAGTGAGAAGGGCAAGTGTCCTGTCACATAGCTGTGAAGGAGGTGGGGCTGCAGGAAACAGGTCCCAGGATGGAACTGGGGCTCTCCTATCCCTGCAGGGCATCATCCTCCACCCAGTGCAAGAGAGCAGCTGTCACCAGACTCACTTCCTGTCCTGGACTGGGAACCCCCAAACAGAAGTCCTCCCTGTTAGTTCCAGCAGAAAGGCTGGGGAAGAGTTTGATTGGCTGGTTTGGATCACATGCCCTCTGATTGGCTGGTTTGGATCATATGCCCACTAGACCAATCATGTGGTCAGGAGGGTGGAGCACTTTGATTGGCCAGGCCTGGGTCAGGTGACCAACTGTGTAGGGGGGTGTAATTGTCAAGGGGAAAGAATTTCCCTCAAAGCGTGTTGGTGCTTAGAAGTTGGGGACGGGAGTACATTCTGGGCAGAAACAACTATAGCTGCCCAGTCCCTTAAAAGAGGATGAAATGAAGGGTTTAGAAAGGGGGGTCTGAGCTCCATTCGCTTTTTTATTTGTTTATTCAAAAAGCATGCGAGTGTCCACTTCAGTGCAAACCTGCACGCTGGAGAGGGATCTGCCCACAGCAGGACACTCTCAGGCCTTGCTTCCCATGGGCCATCACTGGGTCCTGCAAATGAGACTTCCTTGGCTTCTGAGGCTTCCCCTACCCCCTTGAATGGTCACCCTTGAGGATTTCAAGCCAAGGTCAGGGGAGGCTGGCCCTGGTCCCAGCTCCCCCAGACAGGTCCTTCCCCCAGAGGGACCTGGCAGGCACCAGGCTAACAGCCATTACCCTGAGCTGGCCTGCTCACCTACACCCCCTGGTCATCCTCACGTCCTCCCTCACGTCCTGTTGGGAGGACTAAGACCAGCCAGACGCTGACATTCATCTCTGACCAAGAGGAGGGTATCTGGGTCTTTTGGGCAGGCGTTGCAGCGATCCTGAGGTGCCCCCAGTGATGGAGCCCTGGGGACAAACACCCCTCCTGCCTCCTCTGTTGCTCTGCTGATGCTCACTGATGGCCAAGTCCATCAGAAAGCTGGTCATCAAGGGAGCCTGCTGATGTGGCCCATGCAGGTGGCTTCCCAGGCCAAAAGTGGGGGAGGGGTGCTGATAGTGGACTCAGAGGGGCACATAGAGACTGGCCAGCTCTGAGCTCCAGGAGACACTGTGTTTGAAAGAGACGGCACAGTGCCCTGCAGTTGGGTGAGTTCCGTCCTGCCCCGAAGGGACTAGGATTGCTGGGGAGACTTGCCTGCTCTGCAGAGGCAGGGCCTGTGGGGAGAAGGCCTGTTGTGGGGAGGGAGCCCCCGCCCCCAGGGGGGCTGACTGGCATCTCTGTCCACAGTACATTCAAGAATTCACCAATGAGACGTGGCGGATGCGAACTGACCGGCCGCTGCCCGACCATCTGGTCCTGCTTGTGTGGTCCCTCATCGTGTCTCTGTACCCCGTGGGGGGCCTTCTGGGAGCACTGCTTGCTGGCCCCTTGGCCATCACACTGGGGAGGTAAGTGCTTCCCGTGGACCCCCAAATGCCCTTCAATGAGGGGCACCCCGGGTGTGGGCAGGATGCCCGGCAGGCCCAGGCCTGAGTCAACTCCTCACCAGCCTCCCGCTCTGCCTGCAGTTTCACCGGGTGACTCACGTTTCCCAGCAGATGTGGCAGAGGGAAGAGTCCCATGCCGGGAGGGAGGGAGGACCCATGGCTGCCAATACAACACATGTTGTCTGACTGTGAACAGGTGTTTTCTCCCCAGTGCCCCCCTTTGTATCCAACTGATGCAGATCTTGGGTCGCAAACAAGAGAGACAGACTCTGACAGACTGAATGGAAAACTGTGATAACGCAAAGGATACTGGGGCAGCTCATAGGACAAAAGGAAGTGGTCAAAAGCCAGGCCTGGGGAGGGCAGGATGCAAGACCACCCTAGCCTGGGCTTTCCTCCTGGGAGATGCCTTCAGCGCATCAGCTCCAGCCTTGTTCCACCTCCAGCATCTTCGCTCACTCTCAGAATCAAGGGAGACGGGTTGTTCCTGGCCCACCTTGGGTCACACGCCTACACCCGTGAGACAGCAGGAGAGAAGCAAGGCCGGGCGGGAAAACAAGCGGCTCTCATGGTCCCCCCCTTGGCTGGCCACCCAGCACGTGTCGGCACCTTTCACCCATATATTCAGCTCCCCATGTGCCCCTCCTCACGTTAGTTGGTTCAGTCCTTCCTGAGACCACCCAGGGCACTGCCTCGTCACAGCCACCAGGGACGACACAACGGAGGTGTCCTCCCTGAGTGCAGAGTTTCCACGTGACGACCAATCTGCCAGCCCTGCCGTTAACGTGTTGATATTCTGCACACTACACACTTAATGGTAAACTTAACTGTCCTCAAGACACCTCATGGGAAGAAGAAAGAAGAAAGTGTAGGGGAAACTAGTCAAAGAAAAGGAAACTAGTGGATGAATTTAGTTTAAAGCGTATGATCCAGAACCTGGAAACATAGGTAGAGGGTCTGCTCCTGGGTTTTGGAGCTGGTCACTCCAAAACCTGCCTCGGGAACGTCCATCCTCAGGTTTTCTGCTCCTGTCTTGGGTCAGCACTTCCACCGGCCTGAGGCTGTTTGCCCATCGGCGTGACCCCAATCTTCATGCTTGAGTGGGCAGGGCAGTCCTGATGGTGTGGGTCCTTCGGCAGGCTCTTACCCTCTGAGGTCATCTACTTCTGAATGGCGGGGTTCCTAACGCGGTACTGAGTTCCGTGGGCACCCATCCTTCCGCGTCCACTGATGTAACCTCCTTTGTTGGAAGCAAAATCGCACAGATAACATGTTTGTGTATTTAGCAGAAGTATCAACGGCAAGTAACAGAAAACCAGGACTCAGCTGGCTAAAACAATAGCCAGACACCCCATTCTGGTGTTTATTCTCCACTAGGGCCTAGTGACCAGCCAGGAGTTATTTCTGATTAAGGGGGTAGTAATTCACCGAAGTAGTGGCTTTGCTCCAGAATCCTAGGTCTTGCACTGTGATTCTCCTTGGGGGCACTTTGAGCACCACAATCTCCCAGGTCTAGAGGGTCGAGGGGCGGAGCCTCTGGCAGCTGGTTTGGACCCACTAGGGCATACTCCACTCACAGCTTCCAGGTTTGCAAATATCCAGTGTAGGTGTCAGATCACGACACTCACTGTGGGACAGGCTGCCTCCAAAGTAGAAAGAAGCCATCTGAGATTTGTCCACCCTTCTTAGAGGAAGGGCAGCAAGCCATCCCGCACTTTGGAGGAAATGTGCCCTCGGACGTCAGGAGCTCCACTGGTGTGGCGGCTCCCACTCTGTCATGCTTGTACGTTACCATGACGTCGGGTGCACTTGCCGCTTCCTCTTCCCCAGGTCCTTTCAGCATAAAGTCATCAAAGCAGCGGGCCAGCAAGATGCCTGAGGCGGGCAGCTCCCCATGGAGCAGGTGTGGCCCAGAGCTGGAGAGCTGCCATGTCCCTAAGGAGGTCGGTAAAGGTGCAGTACTCTCCCTGCCGGGTGGAAGTAAAGTGTTTCTGCTGTCGTCTGTGTATTGAAATGCAGCAAAATGCATTCGCCGGATAAATAGCTGCAATGGATGTACTGTGTTTTTTTGTTTATTTGTTTTCGGCTGCACTGCGCGGCATTGGCCTGCAGAACTTCCCCAACCAGGGACTGAACCCGTGCCCCCTGCATTGGAAGCGTGGAGTCTTAACCACTGGACCACCAGGAAAGTCTTGGAAGTACTGTATTAATTTATATCAGTGAGGAAGCCGTATGTGGCTTATAAGTCACAACTGGAGTTACCACAGGATCAAGTTATAATCCACGGTCATTCTCCATTCTCTAGGCCAGGGGATCTGAGCTTTGGCCCATCTTTCACCCCTGTGCTGTTGGTTTGGAGCAGGCCAGCGGCTTCCTGTGGCTCATTTCCTTGTCAGTACATGCGCCATATGACCTCCTGTGGCCTCTCTTGGGTGACCTGCATGACGGCGCCTCTGAGCGCGGTGTCAGGAGCCCAGAGCTGACGCCTCATCGTGTGGCGCTGCTGACATGCCCAGTGCCCCTTCCTGTTTTGCCGTCTGTCCTGTTGAACCAGCCTGGCAGAGACCACCCAGCCATCCTGAAGGCTCTGAACAGTGACTCTGCAATGCACTTGGCTCCCCAGCTGTCCCCTCCCTCACTCCGGAAGCCCCTGTTCTTCCTCCCCAGGGTTTCCTCGAGTCTGAGAAATCAGATGTTAGGCCCTTCGCTTTACAGAGGAGTTTGAGGAGAGCAGTGCTCAATCTGTAGGGATAAAGCCGTACGAGTTCTGTCACTTCAAGCCGTGCCGGAGGCAGAAAGGAGAGTAATTTGGGGCATATTGGAGGAGGGGAGTGGGAGTAGGCCCCTGGGGGCATCCCACAAGTGACCCCAGCTACAGTGGCCAGCGTCATTTCTGTTCGTGTAGCTTACACTCCTGACTCAGTCCCCTCATGCACACACAGGTCTGATCAGGGCTGGCTGCAGCTTCAGAGAAGGGTCCCCAGGGGTGGTCCTCAGGACTGAACCCACCTCTCTCGCCTGTGTTTGGCTTCCCCAAGGAAGAAGTCCCTGCTGGTGAATAACATCTTCGTGGTGGCTGCGGCGACCCTGTTTGGCTTCAGCCGCAGAGCAGGCTCCTTTGAGATGATCATGCTGGGACGGCTGCTCGTGGGCGTCAGCGCAGGTACAGTGTGAGTGTGTGTGGATCCCCTCCTGCCTCTGTTCCTACACTTTCCTGTATCCTCTTTATTCCCTTCATTCATTGATTTGTTTTCCTTTCATGCCCACCATTATTTTTTTTTTTTTGCAGAATGATTAGATATGATTTATCTTAAAAGGGTCATATAACCAGGTACTTAAAGTGGATCTAGAAAAACGGAAAAGTTGTAAGGGATGGGAGGGCAAATATCCCCAAACTTAAACCAACAGAAGTCCTCTAAGCTGGGAGCTTCCTGGCAGTCAAGATGAAAGGGCATCTAGGACGGGCTCTCTGATCTTCCCTACAGAAGCAGAGTAGCCTTTTAGGGACCCCTCAGGCTCTGGGGCTTGTCACGGGAGGGAGCAGAATTTTGAGCGTGTCCACCTGGGCTTTTAGGGGTGCCCATCAACAATCCCCCTTGACTCCTACTGTTTATACAGCCAGGTGCTGATGTCTTCATTAGTTAGTTATGTATTCCTGTGAAACGAAGTACTCCACAATTTAGTGGCTTAACACCAGCAACATTTATTAACTCATGGTTTCTCTGGGTTAGGAACCAGGAGTGTCTTAGCTGGGTGGTCCTGGCTTGGGGCCTCTCAGGAGGCTGTGATCAAGCTGTCAGGCAGGGCTGCAGTCACCTGAGGTTTGGCTGGGGCTGGAGGACCTGCTTCTGAGATGGCGCCCTCGCGTGCTGTTTGCAGGAGGCCCGGGCTCCTCAGCTTATGGGTCTCCCTGTAGGGCTGCTTGAGTGTTCTCACAGCATGGCGGCTGGTTTCCTCCAGAGGAAGTGATGGGAGAGAGGAAGCCCACATGTGTGCGCAAGGACACAGTCCCAGTGCATTTTATGGCCTAATCTCAGAAGTCATACACCATCAGTTTTGCCGCAGTCTACTTAGAAGTGAGTCACTCAGAACAGCCCGCATTTCAGGGAAGAGGGACCAGGTCAAACTTTGTGCCCTGAGTACCTGGCACAGAAGGAATCCCTCCCTAATTGTCTGTAGGAAGAGTGGGTGTACCTCCATGGGAGAGCTTCTGGCAATCAGTGTACCCCCCTTCCTCCCAGCTCCCCCCATCCAGTGCTCAGAGAGGGGCAGGACCTTGTTGAGGGCTGTTTCCTGATCCCACGTCAGGGAGGGGGTGGAGCAGCATTCCCTGACGTGTTCCCAGGTGGATGCTGCCCCAGTACTGCGGCCTCCTAGCTTCTGCCGGCTGTCACCCTCTGGGGTGGGCAGTGGCGGCGCCATCCAGTTCCATTTTCCCACTGGCTGCCTGGGTGCGAGGTGCGTCCCCAGGGAAGCCAAGATGGGGGAGAACATGTGGTGGTAGTTGACGTGAGAGGTGAGAGCCGGGGCCGCTGGTGGGCATCTGCTCCCTCTGAGCCCCTCACACTCCTCCCGGTGATAGGGCTTCTCTCTCAGAAGTCCTGGGAGTTGACCGGAGTCCTGCTGGCCCTATATCAGGTGGGGAGGAACCCCTCAGAGCGCTTGGGCTGAGGGAGCGGCACTCAGTGCCTGTAGATGATGGGCTGGTGGCGCCAAGGCCGCGGCGGGGGTGGGCGGGGGTGGCGGGGAGAGGCGGGCCCAAGCGTTGCGGGAGTCCAGCCTGTGGCTGACAGCTGCTGTGCTCATGTCCAGGTGTGAGCATGAACGTCCAGCCCATGTACCTGGGGGAGAGCGCACCCAAGGAGCTCCGAGGGGCTGTGGCCATGACCTCAGCCATCTTCGCCGCCCTGGGGGTCGTGATGGGTCAGGTGGTTGGACTCAGGTAAGTGCCGCCCCCCCACCCCACGTGCACTGAGAGGTTGGAGGGATGCCAGGGAAAGCCCTTCTTCACCTAAATTTCTCCCCTACCCCCCAAGTGGATTAAGGCGTTGCTTCCTTGTATGAAGGCGTTGAAACCCTGTCCATGTGCATCTGGCCAGTGTGGTGTCAGTCAGACACACTTGGTGTGAGTCACCCTCTTCTCGCCTCTCCGGATCAGGGAGCAAAGAGGAGAGGGTGCAGGTTTGGGCTTTTAAAGGGAGCATGTCCTGTTTATCCCAGAAAAGGGAGGTGAGGGCAGAGCCCTGTGCCCTGGGAAGAGCCCTGGGGAGAGGAGTTGCCAGGGATGAGGTGGGGCTATGACCCTGTCCTATCGTGGGTCCCTACCTGGGTGTCCAGACCCAGAGCTGGTTGGGAAGAGGCACAGGGTAATGCAGACCCTCTGCCCTCAGGGGGGCCGGTAGGGGACAGAGCTCTGACAAGGAGGCACCTGGCCCAGCCTCTCCTCTGTCTCCCCAGGGAGCTCCTGGGTGGCCCGCAGGCCTGGCCCCTGCTGCTGGCCAGCTGCCTGGTGCCTGGGGTGCTCCAGCTGGCCTCCCTGCCCCTGCTCCCCGAGAGCCCACGCTACCTCCTCATTGACTGTGGAGACTCCGAGGCCTGTCTGGCAGGTGAGTCCCTGACCTCGGGCCCCCAGACCACCCTTGACCATGGGGCACATCTGGCCAGAGCATGTGGGTCCTTATTTCCTGGGTCACATTTATTCAGGAAAAGCTATCCCTCTCTTTGTGCCTCAATTTCATGATCCATCCATCCCTTCAGAGCTCTTTATCAAGGGGCTGTCCTAAGCGCCAAGGCAGTGGGATGGAACAGACCCAGCACCTGCCATCTGGGAACCCCCAGGGTGGTGCAGAGAAGGAGCGCCACCTGCCCCCTGCCTGACATGCAAGATGAAGAAACACTGAGTAAGACCTCAAGGGCCCAATGCCAGCTGGGCTGATGGTCTTCCCTGTTAGCTATGGCCACGATAATGATGCCGAAGGAACAATCCCCAAATCTCTGGCTTAAAGCACACAATCCTTCACGTTGGGCTGGCTCATGGTGTCGGGGTCAGCTGGGGCTGGCCAGTTGAGGCTGGTCTGAGCTGGAGCAGTTCAGCTCTGCTGCACACACTGCTCCTTGCACTCTTGGTACTGACAGACTAGCCCGGAAGGCAGATCCAACTGCACAAGCACTTTCCAAACCTTTGGTCCCTTCCTGCCCACTAACCTCCCATTAGCCAAGGAGAGTCACGTCACTGAACCCAAAGTCCAGAGACAGGAAAATCCATGGCATCTCCACTCATGTGGCAAGGGGCGAAGACCAGGGCCCACTAATGTATTCTTCCCAGCTTGCCATGGTGGCCACAGTTATTATTCATGTCCCTGCCCTGAGCAGGAACATGCTCAGTGCTATCCGGAAACACCCCCCACCCCCACCAAGTCTCACCCAATCATGGCATCAGGCTTGAAGTCCAGGGTCTTAAGATCATGTCAAGTCTATATATGCCTTTTCTTGAGCCAAAGACCCAGGAGATAAACAGAAGTCTTCCACCTCGCGCGCACTCAGCAGACACTGGTGAAAAACTGTTTTTCAAAAAAGAGGCGGCAAGGAGGCAGAAAGCAGTTGCCGATCGACAGCAATGCTGAGTGCCCCTGGGGAAACGCTGCCAGCCTCCCCTGCCCTGGGATGGAGAGTGCTCCTGCGTGAAGCCCTGGCTCTGCCCCCAGGGAGGGGCTCCCCAGGCCACTGAGAATCTGGGTGTCATGGTGGCACTTTGGAGTCATTTAACTGTAATATGACCCCACAAGACAATTCAGTGTTAAACAGCGATTATGTTATTCAGTGGAGTCCAGGCTGTGACAAATAGAATCGTAGACTGTCAGGACTAGAAAGGGCCTTAGGGATCATTTTCTTCAGCACCCTCGTGGTACAGATTAGAAATGCCTAAAGGAAGACAGGGTCTTAGTCAAGACTCTTCAGCTGTTCGGGGTAGATTTAAGATCAGACTTTGAGCCTCCTGACATTATCGCCTTCCTTTTCTATCACCTTCCTTGACACCTGAAGAGGGCCCTGGAAAATGTACCTATAGAAAACTGGGGCACAGAAGTCTTTACATTTCAAACCATCTTGGTGTCTTTTCATCCAGGCCGGCAGAGCTTCTGTCAATACAACTTTCCCCAAAAATGATGTGAACTTTCTGTGCATTTGATTTATGTGCCAGAAAGCCACACCCACAATTCTTGTCGAGACATGCTTCTCTCTTGCAACCTAATTACTGGAATCTAGGGCATGTCGAGCTGCGGAGGACCAATACCCTTAAGCCTCTGTAATGCCCGTTTTTCCAGCCCGGAGGGTCCATGAGGCACTGCAGGAAGCCATACCCTTGATTTGGTCTTTACCCTCAGCCCAGGGCTCGCTGGCCTTGCTCTGGATCCAGTCTTTGCTCTCAGGCTGTGATTTAACTTAGGGCTCTGCTAGATGGAGAAGCTGGAGATGAAAAACAGATTTCTTTTTCTTTTTTATTTAACTAACCTAGCAAGCTCTGAAATAAGTTAAATTGGATTAAATTGTGTTCCCTCTGAAGGTCTTTTTGAGCTCATTTTCCTTACAATCAGCTCAGAATACTCAGGTAAAGGCAGCTAGCTCATGCTTTCGACGCTTGGAGATCTCTTTGCCCAAGTCCAGAAGTTCATTAGACCTGTTTTGTTTCTTGCACGTTACACGGGCTTTCATTCTTCCAGCCTCCTCACCGTCCTCTGCCTGGTTAGGAACCAACACTGCATGTCATAGGTCCTAGTTATGGCGTCACCTGCTCCCATACCAGGGGTTTTTTTAGTCCGTTTTTTTTCTTGCTGCCTAACAGTCGCACCTCCGCGGGAGACCAAGGAAATGATTACTTAGCCCAAGCTTCTGAGTTCTCGGGTTGGCTGATGAAGGTTAGGTCTGGCTGGAGGCTCTGTCACTGGTGTAGGTCAGCTGGGCATTGGCTGATCTAGGACGGTCCCAGCTGGGCCATCTCTGCTTTTTCCTGGGACCAGTGGGCCAGCCCCACCGCAAGTTTTTATGATGATGACAGAAGACCAAACAGAAACCAGCAGGTCTCTTGAGGCTGTATTGGAACACGCGGCACGCCCTCCTACAGCCTAATTCTACGGGCCGGAGCGAGTCGCAGGGCCGAACCCAGCACCAAGGGGCGGGTGTATACATGCCTCTTCAGTGGGAGCAGCTACCAAATCCCATGGCCCAGGGAGGGGTGAACTGAGACTGCAGTGGAGATCGGCCACAGTTGTGTCCTGTGTGATGCCCCCGCACAACCCCGAGTTTCTAAAGCCCTTTCTGCTCCGTGGTGCTGTGAACTGATCATCCCCATCAGACCAAGGGGACCCTGGGAAGGCGAAAGGAGGTGGGCGTGGGCAGCTCACTGTGGGGGTCACAGAGGGCCTGGGGGAGGGGAGCTCAGCATCCTCTGCCCTGCCCTCTCCCCCAGCGCTGCAGCGGCTGCGGGGCCCCGCGGACCTGGCCGAGGAGCTGGCCGAGTTGGAGCGGGAGCGCGCCGCCTGCCAGGGCCGGCGCGCGCGGCGCCCGTGGGAGCTGTTCCGGGACCGCGCGCTGCGGAGGCAGGTGACGAGCCTGGTGGTGCTGGGCGGGGCCATGGAGCTGTGCGGGAACGACACGGTGAGCAGTCCGGGCCAGGCCGGGGTTGGGGGGAGAGGGGAGGGAGAAGGGCCGGCGGGGAGGGCCGGTGCGCCTCGGCCTCTCGCCCCTCCCCCCCTCCCCCGCGGCAGGTGTACGCGTACGCGTCGGCAGTGTTCAGCCAGGCGCGGATTCCCCCGGAGAAGGTCCAGTACGCCGCCATCGGGACCGGGGGCTGCGAGCTGCTGGCGACGCTGCTCAGCGTGAGTCTGCCTCCGGGATGACACCTCATCCCCCAGCCCTGCGGAGGACCCTTGGGGGTGCTGGCCCTCCGGGGACCGCAGGCCTCAGCGCTAAGCCACTTCCACTTCAGGTCGCTATGTTAAAATACGGCGAGTTAGCAAGCACTTATCGAGCATCTAGTTTGCCGGGCTTCCTCATGAGGCCCCTCCCCACTGCTGGCCCGCAAACCGAGGGGACCGCGACCGTGGCCCACACCAGTGAATCAGTGAGGGCTCCTTTCCTTTGCAGTGTGTGGTGATCGAGAGGGTGGGCCGACGGATGCTGCTGATGGTGGGGTACGGCCTGATGACCTGCTGGGGGAGCGTCTTCACAGCGGCCCTGTGCCTGCAGGTAGCTGGGCGTAGATGAGGGCGGGGCGTCGGCCCTGTGCCTGCAGGTAGCAGGGCGTGGATGAGGGCCGGGCGGCTGGGCCCCGCCTGACCTCCCCTCACCACCACCTCACCCCCGCCCCTCTGCCGCAGAGCTCCCTCCCCTGGATGCCCTACCTGGCCATGTCCTGCGTCTTTGCCTTCATCCTCAGCTTTGGCATTGGCCCTGGTGAGTGGGAAGAGCTCCTGTCTTTGGGCCTGGCTGAAGGAGCACGGATGTCTGGGTGAAGGATGCTTGGGTGTGCCCTCCCCCCACTGTACAGGCTTCTGGGAGGGAATGGCTGGAGGAGCGCTGGAAGGGCCCCACTTTCTTGTCTGGGGCAAGGTGGGGGGAAGGCCGGCCAGGGAGCCCTGGCTGGCAGCCTCCTGTCCCCACTCCTCCTTCCAGCCGGAGTGACCGGGATCCTGGCCACAGAGCTGTTTGACCAGATGGCTCGGCCTGCTGCCTACATGGTCTGCGGGATGCTCATGTGGACCATGCTCTTCCTAGTCGGGCTGGGGTTCCCCTTCATCGTGGTAGGCCTGCCCGCCCCTCCCTCCCGGGGGCCCTGCCGTAGGTTTTGTCCTTGTCAGCATGAGAACCCCAGGGGAGGCTCCATCCAGGAGGTGTGAGACTGAAGGGGATGGGGCTTATCTGAGCCAAGAGGGTCGAGTCCCTCATCAGGACCTGTGGTGGGGCCTTCCATGTGGGGGCTGAATGGGCCACACCAGAGCTTGGGTCTCTTAACCCACAGGAGGGCTTGTCCCACTTCCTCTATGTTCCTTTCCTCTGTGTCTGTGTCTGTGGGGCCGTCTACACTGGCTTCTTCCTCCCTGAGACCAGAGGGAAGAGCTTCATGGACATCTCAGAGGAATTGCACAGACTCAACTTCCCCGGGGTGGAGCCAGGGCCCCGCATGGACAGGCCGGAGGTCATCCGGTCCACAGAACTCTAGCTCAGCAGGTTTGGCTGGGGCCCAGCCGGCTGCTGCTCTTCCCTCGGGCCCTCTCCATTCACCAGCCCTGCATCCCCTTGTTTAATGGGTGTTTGTTGAGCACCTACTGTGTGCAGGCCTGGTGTTTAGCCATCAGTGGTGAGCCGGACAGATGGGGTCTGGGACCTCTCGGTGCTCCCTGTCTGGAGGCAGTTAACAGGAAACCAATAAAAACACAATTACAAACTTGGGCGGACTTTCCTGGCAGTCCAGTGGTTAAGACTTCGCCTTCCAATTCAGGGGGTGCGTGTTTGATCCCTGCATGGGGAGCTAAGATCCCACATGCCTCGCAGCCAAAAAATCAAAACATGAAACAGAATAAATATTGTAACAAATTTTTAAATTTTTATTTATTTATTTATTTTTGGCTTTATTTATTTATTTATTTATTTATTTTTGGGTCTTCATTGTGGCGAGCAGGCTAGCAGTTCTAGCTGCGGTGAGCGGGGGCTACTCTTCATTGTGGTGCGTGGGCTTCTCATTGCGGTGGCTTCTCCTTGAGGAGCACAGGCTGTAGGCGCGCGGGCTTCAGTAGTTGTGGCACGTGGGCTCAGCAGTTGTGGCTCACAGGCTCTAGAGCGCAGGCTCAGTTGTGGCGCATGGGCTCAGCTGCTCCGCAGCATGTGGGATCCTCCTGGACCAGGGCTCAAACCCGTGTCCCCTGCATTGGCAGGCAGATTCTTAACCACTGCACCACCAGGAAAGCTCTATTGTAACAAATTCAATGAAGACTTTAAAAAAGGTCTACATCAAAAAAATCTTAAAACAAAACAAAACAAACTTGGGGAAATGAAGTGGAAGAAAATACAGCTTCTGAAGGGTGTGTATACCAAGGGGTGTTTGAGAGGGGAGTGGTCAGGGAAGGATTTTCTGAGGAATTGATTGCTAAAAATCAATTTTATTGAGGTATAATTTACATACAATAAAATGTATCCATATTAAGTTTACGTTTGATAAGTTTTGACAGGTGTACATATCCATGAACCACCACCACCATCAAGGTAGACCGGTCACATCATCTCCAAAGTTCCATTGTGCCCCTTTGCAATCAATACCCTGCCCGACCCCAGGCCCTAGGCAACCGCGGACCTGCCTTCTGTCACTACAGGTCAGATTTCTTTTTCAGAATTTGATATAATTTCATACCATATGTATGCATTCGTGTCTGGCTTTGCTCCAGATAAAGTTTTTGAGGTTCATGCGTGTTGTTGCATGTATTAGCATATATCCCTTTGTATGGCTGAATAGTATTCCACTGTATGGATATACCATCATCTGTTAACCCATTTCCCTGCAGGTGGACATTTGGCTGTTTCTAATTGGTTGTTGTTTTTTTAAAAAATACATTTATTTATTTTATTTATTTATTTTTGGCTGCATTGGGCCTTCGTTGCTGCGCACAGGCTTTCTCTAGTTTCAGCAAGTGGGGGCTACTTTTTGCCATGGTGCGCCGACTTCTCATTGCGGCAGCTTCTCCTGTTGTGGAGCACGGGCTCTAGGCAGGCGGGCTTCAGTAGTTGTGGTATGCGGGCTCTAGAGCACAGGCTCAGTAGTTGTAGCACACGGGCTTAGCTGTTCCGCGGCATGTGGGATCTTTCCAGTCCAGGGCTCGAACCCATGTGTTCTGCATTGGCAGGCAGATTCTTAACCACTGAGCCAACAGGGAAGCCCTGTTTCTAATTGTTAGCCATGATGAATAAAACTGTTATGAACATCCCTGCACAAGTTGTGTAGATGTATGCTTTCATTTCTTTGGGGTAAATGAATTGCTGAGTTTAATAATGAATGTATCACTTTGTTATAAAGCAGAAACTAACACACCGTTGTAAAGCAATTATACTCCAATAAAGATGTTAAAAAAAAATAATGAATGTATGTTTAACCGTAGCAGAAACTGTTTTCCAAAGTGCATATACTGTTTTACATTCCCGCTAGCAATTGATGAGACTTCTGGATGTTCCAAATCCTCGTCAGCATTTGGCAATGTCACTCTTCTTAATCTAGCCATTCCACTGAGGGTGTAGTGGCGTCTTGTGGTTTCATTGAGGTATTTCCCTGATGGCTAATAATGCTGAGCATCTCTTCGTGTGCTAATATGACCATTCACGTATCTTCTTTTGTGAAGACTCTGTTCAAGTCTTTTGCCCACTATTTTTAAAAGATATTTTTTAGAGTAGTTTTAATTTCACAGCAAAATTGAGAGAAAAGTACAGAGATTTCCCATATGCCCCCTCTCTCACACTCACACAGCCTCCTATTATCAACGTCCCCCACCAGAGTGGGACGTTTGTTACAATCCACGACCCTACATTGACACGTCATTATCACACCCACAGTCCACGCTTTACATTAGGGTGCACTCCTGTAGTTTTACATGCTATGGGTTTGGACAAATGTATGATGACATTATGCACCATGATAGTATCATGCAGAGTATTTTCCCTGCCCTAAAAATCCTCTCTGTTCTACATGGTCATCCCTTTCCTGCCCCTGCCCAGCGCCTGGTGACCACTTATCTTTCTATGGTCTCTACAATTTTGTTTTCTCCGGAATGTCATATAGTTGGAATCATAGATTATGTAGCCTTTTCAGATTGGCTTCTTTCACTTAGTAATATGCATTTAAGTTTCTTCCATGTCTTTTCATTGCTTAATAGTTCTTTTTGCACTGAGTAAAATTCCATTGTCTGAATGTCCCAAAGTTTATTCACCTACTGAAGGACATTTTTGTTGCTTTTGCCAATTGTGAATAAAGTTGCTATATACATCCACGTGCAGGTTTTTGTGTGGACATACATTTTCACCTCCTTTGGGTAAATACAAGAAGCATGATTGCTGGATCGTAGGGTAAGAGTATGTTTAGTTTTGTAAGAACCTGCCAAACTCTCTTCCAAAGTGGCTATACCATTTTAATTCCCATCAGCACTGAATGAGAGTTCCTGTTGCTCCACATCCTCACAACATTTGGTGTTGTCAGTGATTTTGGCCATTCTAATAAGTGTGTGGTGGTATTTTGTTGTAATTTGCACTTCCCAGATGACAAACATGGAACATCTTTTTGTATGCTAATTTGCCATCTGTATATATCTTCTTTGGTGAGTGTCTGTTAAAAGTGTTTTGGGACTTCCCTGGTGGTGCAGTGGTTAAGAATCCACCTGCCAATGCAGGGGACACGGGTTCGAGCCCTGGTCCGGGAAGATCCCACATGCCGTGAAGCAACTAAGCCCGTGTGCCACAACTACTGAGCCTGAGCTCTAGAATCTGCAAGCCACTGAGCCCGCGTGCCACAACTACTGCAGCCTGTGTGCCTAGAGCCTGTGCTCGGCAGCAAAGAGAAGCCACCTCAATGAGAAGCCCGCACACTGCAACAAAGAGTAGCCCTCGCTTGCCGCAAATAGAGAAAGCCCGTGCACAGCAACGAAGACCCAACGCAGCCAATAAATTAATTAATTAATTAAAAAAAAACTGTTTGGCTGTTTTTAAAAATCAAGTTGTTTGTTTTCTTATTGTTGAGTTTTAAGGGTTCTTTATATATTTTGGATAACAGTCTTTGATCAGATGCATCTTTTGCAGATATTTTCTCCCAGTCTGTGGTTTGCCTTTTCATTTTCTTGACAGTGCCTTCCACAGAGCAGACGTTTTTATTATTTATTTATAAAATGTATATATATGTTTTAATAAATTTATTTATTTAATTTATTTTTGGTTGCATGGGGTCTTCGTTGCTGCATGCAGGCTTCCTCTAGTTGTGGCGAGCGGGGGCTACTCTTTGTTGCGGTGCACAGGCTTCTCATTGAGACGGCTTCTTTTGTTGTGGAGCACGGGCTCTAGGCACGCGGGCTTCAGTAGTTGTGGCTCGCGGGCTCTAGAGTGCAGGCTCAGTAGTTGTGGCACACGGGCTGAGTTGCCCCATGGCATCTGGGATCCTCCTGGACCAGGGCTCGAACCCGTGTCCCCTGCATTGGCAGGTGGATTCTTAACCACTGCGCCACCAGGGAAGTCCCTGTATATATATTTTAAAGTCTTTCCTTTTTAAATTAATTTATTTTATTTTATTTATTTTTGGCTGCATGGGGTCTTCGTTGCTGTGTGCGGGTTTTCTCTAGTTACTGTGAGCCGGGGCTACTCTTCGTTGCGGTGCACTGGCCTCTCATTGCCGTGGCTTCTCTTGCTGCGGAGCGCAGGCTCAGTAGTTGTGGTGCACGGACTTAGTTGCCCCGTGGCATGTGGGATCCTCCTGGATCAGGGCTCAAACCCATGTCCCCTGCATTGGCAGGCAGATTCTTAACCACTGCACCACCAGAGAAGCCCATTTTTAAAGTCTTTATTGAATTTGTTACAATATTGCTTCTGTTTTATGTTTTGGTTTCTTGGCCTGGAGGCATGTGCGATCTTAGTTCCTGGACCAGAGATGGAACCCGCACCCCCTGCATTGTAAGGCGAAGTCTCAACCGCTGGACCACCAGGGAAATCCCCAGATGTTTTTAATTTTAAAGAAGTTCAGCTTATGAATTCTTTCATGGATTGTGTTGTATCTAAAAACTGATCACCACATCCACAGTCATCTAGTGTCCACCATTTTTTTTTTAAGCTGCACTGCGTGGCTTGCAGGATCTCAGTTTCCTGACCAGGGATTGAACCCAGGCCCAGTGAAAGTGCCGAGTCCCAATCACTGGAGCACCAGGGAATTCCCTTATTCATTTACTTTTAATGGATGTCCAGTGGTGCTGGCACTGTTTGTTGAAAAGACCATCTTTTCCCCATTGGACTACCTTGGCACTTAGGTCAAAAAAACAATTGATCATTGTTGTATCATAAAGAATTTGTCTGGCTTTCAGTAGGAAGCAGTAACCGCCAAATCAGCAGAAGCGGCAAGCAGTAGGTTCTCTGGGGAGCGAGAACTCTCTGAGTCGGGGTCAGGAGAGGTCTCGTGGAGAAGTCACCTGGAGCTGGCTTCCTGAGGACAGGCCCAGCTGGGGTTCCTTTGGAGGCAGGAGTGTTGAAGGATGGGACTGAAGGCCTGTGGGTCCGGTAAATGCGGAGCTTTCTGGAAGGCAGGTGTCAGCACTCTGGGA